GCAAAAGTTATGCATTGATGGGTATTGCATTTCACATATTTCAAATAGAATTCCATTCATGTCAAGGAAGGTTTCTATTCAGCACAAGTACCTGGTCATAAATACTGAGAATTAACATAGCACACCAATCTTCTGGAGAATTCATGCTTACCTATATCTGTATCTGTCATAAATTTGTTAGATCTTCAAAAACCTTCTTTGAGATCTTCTGGGAGGATAGTTCCATGTACATTGCTTCCATTTCATTTATTTTATGCAAAGATGAGACTCCTCCTATTTCTTTTCTGACTCAGTTTTCTTATTTTACTGTAGGAATATTAGCAGCGCATAAAGGCTCAAATGGGATCAAGCTTTTTACCGAGCGTGATAAGTCTGACTCATTTCTTCCATTTGGTTCTGGGAATCGAGCATGTGTTGGGCAGAAGTTTGCAATTCTTGGGATCTCTATGTTGGTTGCCTCTCTTCTCCACAACTACGAGGTTTGTTACAATAACTGTTGTGCCTAATTCCATGGTACATGTGCTGGTTGCCTTCTTGTTTAATGCTCACATCAGCTCTTCTTAGAACATGCAATGCCTTGCATAACTTTATTCATATGAGCGTCATGAAACACAGTAACCAAATGTTCAGAGTGTTGGCAGTTCCTTTGGGCCTGGGAAATTTTTGACCAAGTAGATGGGATCTTATGCTCTTGAGCTACAGAGTATGACCCTTCGTAAGTTTGTGTTCTAAATTTCTAATATTAATTTGGAAACTCTTAACTTGCAGGTGCAGCCTCAACCAGCTTTAACCAAAGAAATGGGCTTGGCAGTTGACAGCAGCAACCTTCGCCATCTTCCAAACCCCAAAATCATCCTCACAAAAAGAAAGATTTGAAGCAAGAGTTCAGCGATCAAACTTTGACGCCTTACCTTATGCATTTATATGTTTTTTTTACTGGTGTTGCACCAGGGTATGATCTCTAGTCTGCTCTCCTACCGTCGTTTCAACCACGCTGAAGTTTGGAAAAGGTGCTACTTTGCGACCGTGGAAGGTTTTTTCCTCCAGATTTTTTACAGCCCCGATGAGCCTTGTTACACCTAGTTGTTATTAGCGTTTTGAGGTGCTGTGGGCTGTGAAATCACAGGAGGTGTTGTTTGCCGACGTGCATATAAACCAATAGTTTTCTGCAGTTTTTTTCCTTCCGGTCTTTTCTCCTCCCCTGTGGAGGACTGTAAGTCTGTAATGTCCGTCCAATGCACAATGACATATTGTATGCTGTATATGTATCTCATACACAAAACTGTGCATTATACATATATGGTCAGGATGTTGTCTGAAAACGTCTCGTTTAAGTGTTTGTGTTCTGATGGAACGTCTCATGTTGACCGGTAAGTAGGGATCGGAACCTGTCATTTCGTTGTTGTGTGGCAGTTCTTAGTTTGTGGTATATGCCTCGAGATTTGGTACGGGTCTTGCATTACAATCATAGTTTTTAAGGCGGTAAGGCGACCTAAGGCGCTGGGGGGGCGCCTTATCGCCTAGGCGACGCCTAAGCGCCTAAGGCGGACGCCTAAGGCGGGCATATTTGTAAGGCGCTGGGGGGGCGCCTTATCGCCTAAGCGTCGCCTAAGCGTTCAAGGCGGGACGCCTTAAAAACAATGATTACAATCAAAGACTTCAAAACATGACAGGATCAGCATTACTTTGACAATTCTACATAAAAGACTTGAAAACATGGTATGATCAGCATTTTCAGACGAGGCATTGAACATCTCCAGGGCCATTTTCTCCTTTGAAATGCATCGAGACAGACTCCTGAAAAAGAAACAGGTCTGATAGTTTGAACTCTAAAGTCAGGTTTCAGTTCATGACACCGCTAAAAACTTAGGGATGCAGAACGGCGCCTAATCCGCCCCGCTATGAAGTCAAAACAAATCAGGTTACTTTGTACTCCCCCTGTAAAGAAATATAAAACTGTTCAGTGATCTAAACACTCTTATATTTCTTTACGGAGGGAGTAGCATTTTGTTAGCGATGTAGTTCAGTTTGAACCAACTCCCTGTTTCGCGGGCTTACGCGGGATGCCGCCTTGCATCCCTATAAAAACTGCTGCTGAAAATTATCCGAGCGGAGGAACAGACCCCTTCTGAAGACACAATGTTATATCCAGTATACAGCAAGACACACTTATTTGTTGTGACTGAGAGCCTATACAAAATTCGAACATTGAGCTAAAGAAAGTAAGAACGATTAACCTGACACTAAAATACCTGAACACAGAGTAATCTCAAGACACGGAGCAGATTAGAGAAAAAAGAAGTTGACGGCACATCTGATAGCAAGGTAAATATTTCCAGGTTTAATCAAATCTACGCGTTGACACTGCAGGATCCAACACTCTTGCACAGTACAGGTAAAGCTGGGACGGCCACCGATGGAAAAACCACTGGACATCTCTTACAAGAGTTGCATGGCAACAGAAATTCTACAGTCCGAAAAGAGAAGAGAAACAAGCCGTTCATAAGTAAACTACACCGAATACAGAACACACATTCAACAACCACAGCTCGCATTCAACTACCACCACTGTTTGGAAAAATTATCCGCGCAGAGGACCCGACCCCATCTGTAAGCTGCTTGACGATTGCTTCCTGCTCACCTTTGTCCGCCGGACAGAAACCTCCTCTTGGAGTGTTCATTGAATCGCAAGCGTCGCATGGTTCTTTATCTTCTTTGAGAAGAACCATCTTCAAGTTTGAAGCTCGCTCCATGACGGACCTTAAAAATGAAATTTGTAGCTCTTGGGGCCTAAAGCGAACAATTTCAAGCTCTCTCAGTTGCCAAGTTTCAGAGCTTGTGAACTTGGGCATGCTCCATGACGGTTTCGTTCTTTGAGCCTTGTAACCTGTTCTTGTTCTTAACTGCTCATCATCCTGGCAAGCATGGTCCCATATCTGCATAAAGTATCGACGCATTCAGTACAACACGATCATGGCCACACATACTTATCTGTTGTGGGAGCCTGTTCTGAATCCCAAAATGTATGTTATGTGTGATATATATATTAAACTAAAGGAAGTAAAAATGAATGACCGAAAAAGTACCCGCACAGAAAATATCTCAATGGATGGAGCAGCTTCAAGGAGATTTATTGTCCATAACAGGTCAAAATCGACAAAGATGCCACAAATAGACAGCTTCCTTAGCTGTTTGAATGCATGGCAGAGTTGCTTTCCTTCGGGTTGTATCCAAAGCCTTTCTCCTTCGAAATCCAAAGTAAGAGCATGGATGTTTCTGGTACCATGTAGAACCTGGCTTAGACTAAACTCCTGATGATCAATGGTCGCACCACAAATAAGGCCCAGCCCCTTGAGGGATGGAACAGAACCAAAACGCAAGGGGGCCTCAAAACAAAACCACTCGTCCCAACGTAGATGCTTCAGTTTTGGTAGGCAGAGCACCTCAATTCTCTTCAAGCAGGACATGCGGACTTCAAGGATTCTGAGTTTGGAATCTGGTGCATTTATCTGCCATACTGAAGAGTCCCCAACATCACAGTGGGACAGAGATAATTGGTTGAGTTGCTTGCAGGAGTCAAACAGGAGGTGTTGCATATCCCACTCAGCAAACCGCACATTATACAGACGGAGCTTTGTGAGGCACTGAAACACACTAGGATAGGCTGTAAAAAACCCATCGACGGCCAGGGCTTGCTGTAGCATATACTCATGTTCACAGTCTCTAGGATCCTTCTCATCAACAATTGCAAGGCACAGTTTTTTTACTACCCCGCAATCAATCGCATCGCGAGCCAGTGGGCCAATCTCACGTGTGTAATCGCCGGTCACATAGAGCTGAAGGCTTAGCCTTTTGATGATGGTGGATTTGCTGTTTGGATCAGCCAAGAAACTCCTAGTTGCTTTGGTTAGACGTGACATTGCTTGATCCATGTGATGTGCTGCAATGGGTTCCGGGCATGGATGCGGCAGAAAATTCCAGACACGAAGGTTGAGGACAGGAAGCAACCATGGCAAATCTCTCCACCGCTTTGACAACACGCTAGTCCGTGTTGCCGTGGCTGTGTCAACTCTCCCCAAGATAGATAATAATATGTCATCAGTCAGCATGCTGAGCCTATCTTCATGCTTTGTTCGCTGCAAAGTAAAAATAATAATACCAGCAGTTAGTGAATGGCCTTGTTGCACAAATCATGATATTCAAGGAGTAAAGCAAAAGCAATAGTAAGTTAGAGCAGCTACCGCGGTAGACAGGAAACCTAAGTTAGAGCCGCTATTGTGGTATAGCTGAAGTGGTTGTGCAAATAATTTGACTCCATGAATGATCTGGCCAATCTGCCAATAGCCCAATAACCTGTGCTCCTTATTTGATGCACATCGCCAAGAAAGCTACAAAGTGCAAATCTGTCAACAACTAGTGCTCCCTATATTTTTTCACAAATGAATGGGCAGTCCAGGGTCAAGAGTTCTGATTATTCTGGGATCAAATTGTACTTAGCAGTTAGCAGCAACAAAATGCCTGGCAGAATCCTTTTCCAGTGTTCAGAAAATCTTTGGGTTTCTGGCTTCCGTAGTTTGAATCCATGAGTAATCCACTAATCTGGCGGTCAAAACCCTAATGAGCAACGTACCAAACACACACTTACAGTTACTCGTGAAACAGCTACAAGAAGGACATGCCTAACTACTTCCAAGCTAAGGTCTCCTTTGGCTCATAGGATAGAAACTAGCACATATACCCGTGCGTTGCAACGGGAAACAAAATTAACATGCATTTAAGTTTAATAAAAGTTGTATGTGCAAGCACAGTTGTGCTTCACTACAGAAAAAAAATGCTAATTTGTTTCACTCACAAGATGCCCATATTTTCCATGCAGGTTGGCTCTTATGTCCTCTGTTTGGTCAGGTGTTATTAGGCCTGGGTCCACTTAAGCACGTCCATATTTGCTCTTATGTGTTAGACTCCCTCTGTTCGGTCGGGTATTATTAGGCCGGGATCGGGTCCACTTAGCAACGTCTATATTTGCTCTTATGTTATACTCACTCTGTTCAGTATGGTATTATTAGGCCGGGATCAGGTCCACTTACCAGAGTCCATATTTGCTTTTATGTTATACTCACTATGTTCGGTCGGGTATTATTAGGCCAGGATCGGGTCCACTTGCCGCGTCCATATTTTCCACACAGGCCATCGTTCGTATGCAGGATTTAATTGGCACATCTGTTTCCCACAGAATCCCGAGCGTGGAATTTAATTTTAATGGACCCACTCTTTACCCTCTGCTACTAATCCATTAGGCTGCTTGTTGATTTTAACTCACAACCGTATTTGAATTGACGGGTCTAGGTGAAAGAAAGCAAGGTGGGACTATGTAATAGCTGAAGAAACAATTGAACGGCTAGTGTGCTGGGAGAGTAGGTTGGCCGGATTCGTTGGGCCAGCGCGGTTGATTGATGTCCTGAGGCCCAAGCTGGCGACGGGTGGTTAGTCACGCGAGCCTCCAATTAAAACGATCAGCATCCCCTAAAAAAAGTTTTAGAAACGATCAGCACCAAAACCTGGCACGTTTCCTTTTCTTGAGACTTTCCAAACCTGTCACGTGTAGTATCAAGCGGAGTTGAAGCCGAACAACAGCATCGATCTGGCTTCTAAGTGGACGTTTATTTTTGCATGATGGACGTTCCTTTCTTTTGGCAACCGACATACGAAGCAGTCCGGTGTGAGCCACAGCTCTAACGCAAGGATGATGTCATCTTTCCTTAAGATGGAAAGCCGTTTCAGCTAGACGTGGTGCAGCAATCCAACACGTAAGAGATTGCATATGCGAAACTGACATCAATTTACATTAGGAAATGCAACTTAATTTTTGGCAGAAAACGGTTATTTAATTCACACATGAGATTCAACTTAAAACTAAGAACATACACAGGAGTCTATCACACGGCCACGTGTATTGAAAGAAACATATAGTTAGTCATAATCCTCTAGGACACATGCATATTACGTGGACTGCAGGTTGAATCTCATAAAGACCAAGGACATTAGTACAAAAATGTATGACGGACCAAGAATATCACCTCCCTTTATTAGTAGGTACTAGTACAAATGCCCGTGCGTTGCAACGGGCGATATTTTTTGAACATGCTCTGTGTGGCATTACACAACACTTCTTATATCCTAATGGCATTTGTCAGGACCTAATTCATATCCGCGGTCTCATTCGATGAAAGAATAATTGTGCATGGAATAGTCAAGCTATTTTATTTTTTCTTGCCTGCCATTATGTAGAATGAATCATACTATGGAAACCTAAAAAGCAGGCAACAAAATTACCCATTTACATAATCTAGCAAACTTTAAGCTAGCAATCTTGTGACCACAAGTTTATTACTATGGACATTTGCATTTGTCTACTTCTAATATATGAAAGAATTAAAGTGGTAAGCTATAGCCCATGCCATGCATTTGAGGCGCTGGTGGGTGCTCACTCCTAGGCTGACACGTTGTATGCAAAAAAAAATTGACTTCTTTTAACTTTCTTTCAAGGATCTGCCGCTGAGGGCCACCGAATAATCTAGAGCACTACCCACCCCAATCCATCGCTCCTTCCCTAATAATCTTGAGAGGGAGAGAGAGAGAGATGGAGAAGAGGAGCTGCACTGGAGTCTCTTTTCTCCCAGCTTGCGCAATGCGTACACTCCTAAATTATTTAATCAAGTTACAAGGAAATTCATTAACAATACTGAAAAAGGTCTGCCTATATTGCTTCTAATTGCCAACAATTGAACTTTATAAAAAAAATGTACATTTAGGAAAAATAGTAATTTTTGTTTTGCAATTTGCCAAATATTTTGTACATGCCAAAAAACTATAGATATGCATGACACACCTCTTAAGGGACATTAGCCGCAATTCTGATCTTCCGACGGTCCTTGGACGAATTCCTAGGGTATGAGAATTCATAAGACAAAAAGCAGGAACACTACCTGAACTGGTTTTTGTCATGGTGGACTGTCTGGTTAGATCAAACACATACCTTATATTTTATTATGTTTTGCTTCATGTAAAAAGCTTAGGACCGTGTCTAATGAAAAATTAAGTTATTCCGACAGGGAACTACCATGGAGTAAATGGTGCCACAACATAAAACAAACAAGTTCAAGAATAAACTGAAAGCAAGGCGCTCTCTACAGAATTCGAAATTTTGATCTTCAGGATGCCAAGAAGATTTACAAAGCAGTGACTTTCCGTTGAGAATTTGCTTGCTAAAAAAATATTGGCAGTAGAGATGTAGTCTCAGCTAGAGAATTTCCCCATCTTTGCTTACACTGTCTTCAATTTTTTAGTATTGGCAATGTGAATACAGCAAAACACTTTGCTGTCAGGTAAATATTTCTAGAAGCAATTCAAGTAGCACTATATGCAAGTAAAAATGAGAGCTGATATGCAGTTATTGTTTTTCTCTTGCGAAACCAACAACAAGCATTTAGATGGGCTGTTTCACAAGCGCGGCGTGCCGCCGCGCCTCTGCCCGCTAGTATAATCATATAATAGGCAAAGCACAAGTTTCCAGTATAGGATATGCATACACACACAAATGTGGATCAAATTTCATTGGCTAGAAGCAATATATCATGTAAATGCAGAATAAATTGATCCAAGGCCAAAGAACCATGATATGCATCATGTGATAGTAGCATCGTTTAAGGGAAAATACTCTGCCAGGAGATTGAGAGCATACAGGCTGATGACTACATTGACCTTTAGCGAATTAGCATCACTCTTTTTCAGTTTTGACGGCAAAATAACAGGAAGAAAGGTCCCAATCTGAATAAATGAAACTTACAGTATGCATGTTGGTATTATCCAGCGTCATTGGTGCAATGTCCGAGAGCTAAACCTCCTTGGCCTCCACCTTAGTTAGATCGGACACCTTTGGCACCTGCACGCGCACACACAGCAGAGACATCAAAACCAGGCCACATCAAACTGAGGTCACACCAACATATAATTCTACAACGAGGAGGGCAATCATGGTAATGCTGCAACTAAGTCCCCCTTCTTCGTCCTTCCTTTCACTGGTGTTAATGCACAGCACAATCAGCTAGGTACAAATAAATCTACTGAATCACGTGAGACTATCCCCTCTTAAATTTGGAGATGAAAACAGGTTTAGTCAGAATTGGCAGTATTTGTACAGATTAATGCACAGGCATTTGTTACAATATCAAGCCAAAGTGAATATATAGTTTCAGTTTTGTATAAATACACCTCTATGCCAATTTGCCTTAGATTATTTCACTAACTAAAAAGAGTTGTAGAGAAAGAGGGTAAACAAACTAACTAAAAAGACAAAAAGATGAAAATCCTACAGGTAAGCAAAGCAACCCCTAAGAGAGAAAATACCCTCTTTATGAACATGACTCTTTATCATATAGCATCCAGTTCTTGTCACGTTGACAAAACGTGGAAAACTATTAGTCTGCCCATGATGTAATGCTAGGAATTGTTCGATTTTACGGTTTCTCTGGGAGAAATTAATGCTATGTTGCAGCAACACATGCAGAAGTTTTGAACCTTTTGATCCTACCAAGTGCATCATTCAACTCACACATGCAAATATTGGCAATGTGATATATACATGCAACTAAAAAATACTTTATGGGAAAGAAAAAGTAACCCATGGCACAGAACACAACATCTCTGAAGCCACCCATGGCAGAAAATACGATGGTATAGCAGCAGACCCTTTGTCCTTTACATCAATATAATGTTAATCTCGGCCTGATGTTTCTTAGTTATAGCCTCATCCTATTTTCTTCAGAGTACTCATCCTTCCATGCTAACACAATTATGTTATTCCAGAAATGCTAACTTGAGTTTACCTTAACTCTGATGTAATACGAAGCTTCGTAAAAGATAAGCAAACACGTACGATCACTGCTACTCTAAGTAGACTTACGCAAAAAAATAAAGACCAGAGCAGTAACTATCAATCAAATTTATACCAAAGTGAATCCCCACCACCCCCTAACTGAAAAAGGTAATGATATTGGCATCTATATTACTGAAAGTACAGTACACATAAGCTATATATATACTTTCAGTTTTGCTACTCTATGTTCAGGAAGTAAACATGGGTTCAGGAGATAAACTCATATGTTCAGAATAGATCCAACTGGGAAAGGCTTGTTACACTTCAAATATATGTTGAAAAGCACACATATCCAACATAAGTTGTTTGTAGTACATGCTGAGGTATCTATTCATGTGTATGCCACTGCAAAGCTAATTGATAACTGAACAAATGATTCTTTCCGGTGATTAGCTTTCAAGGGTAGAGATGTCTGCAGTACGAATGATTTTTCCATGAGGCCAAGCTCATGTCAGAAATTCCTACAGCATAAAAGAGCCTAACAATTTCCATTTGCACAGCAACCGCAGCTATTTGTTAATAAAGTTTTTACAAACCCAACAGATCAAATATGAAGATATCCATGCGAAGAGTTGACACTTGAATAGTCCAATAAAACTGGAATCGAGATGTACATTTCGCAAGGATACAACTCACTTCCCTAAGAAGAAATCGTGGCTTGCTTTCCTACTGCAAGTCCCAGATCGAGTTGCAACCTATGCTTTGGCCATCGCAGGAGCAGCGGCCAAAGTTCAGTCAAGCTAGCAAACAATAGTGTTATGTATGCAATGCAATACAAGCAGGGACCATGGATGATATCTTTGTAGAGCTAGTGGTGAAAACATATAATTAAACTATACTACTTTGCAACAACATAATACAAAATATATGATGCCCACTGCCCACTGAAAAGGAACCAGAATTCTAACTTGTTCCATTAACTGAATTCTGAAATCTGTAAAGCTTGCTCTACTTGTCCAAATCAAGCAAATGAGCACACTACGGATATCATCAGGAAATTCATGTTGCGACGAAAAACTGGTTCTGCCTGTAATAAGTAGACTAATTCTTGCAAAACATAAATCTGCTTGGACAGAAAATCCTCTAAGACTAATAAGCATAACTGTTATTTGGGGATATCTTGACCATCATTATTCTGAAATTGCACAAACTTAGTACCTTTTGATGTAAACAGGGGATTCCATTCAGTGAATATCAAGGGGATACATACCTCTGGTGTAGCTCAGGCGACAATGGACGGCTGGACGGATGTTCTTGTTCCTCCGGCGAACTCGGCGCTTCTTCCTCGGGCGAACTTGGCAGCGTCGGAGAATGAGAAGAATACGACGGAGGAGTCCGGAGAGGACTGGAGGCAGCGTAGAGGTCACAGGCCGGCGGCGGGCTCGCGGAGGCGTGGAGGTCCGGCGGCCGTGGCTTTCTGCAAAGGAGAGAGAGAGGGAGGTGAGAGATAGAACCGGAGGGAGGGGGAGAAGGAGAGGATGGCAGGGCGGCGCGTTGGTCTGGCAGCGGCGCTCCGATGGCCGGCCGGCGCGGGGCGGCGGGGCGGCGGCCATGGCTTCCGCTTCCTGCAAAAGAGAGAGAGAGGGAGGTGAGAAAATAGAACCGGAGGAAGGGGAGGGAAGAAGGAGAGAGGGCATGGAGGCGCGCTCTTCCGGCGGCGGCGCTCCGGTGGCCGGCGGCGCGGTGCGGCGGGGAGGCACGAGCGCGAGCCCGCGCATGGAGGCGCTGGGTGCGATCGGCGGCGGCGGGCACCGGCAGATGCAGGGTGTTTTTTGTGAAAACGATTTTATCAGATTCACTTAAAATAGTACTGCGGGTTTAATACGTAAACGCATAGGGGCTTTTTTTGCAAAAACGTCAGCGACGTACGACCAGAAGCAATCGCTGGTTTATTAGTAGGGAAAAGATAGACACTATAGGAATAGGAAACTTGTAGGAAATGAGATGTCATGTACCTCAAATCCTATGAATAGGAATAGTAAGAAAGATGTCCTTTGGACGTCATAGAATTTTTTCCATTGAGTCTAGGCTAATGTTTAGTTTCTTATGAAATGTGGAGGATAGGAAGAATTCCTCCATAGGAATAGGATTCTATTCCTACAAACCAAATGACTCTAAAGGAATTTTTTCTATAGAAATCCTATCCTATAGAACTCCTCCAAACCAAAGGAGGCCTGAATGAACTGTAAAATTCACCACTTCGCTAAAAATCACTACTAATCACCGAGTCCAAGTCAAACCGCTAGAACCTAGAAGTACACACATGACAAGCAGAACCAAGAACGATTACCGAAGGGCAATGTCGTTCCTTGCCCAATTGGCCCATCCCAGGCCGCCTCAGGAGGTCGCAAATTATTTGGCTCCATGAATGATCTGTCCAATCTGCCAACAACCTAGTAATCTTTATCTGGTGCACATCGCAAGAACAAGGTGCTAGCCTTCATTTGTTCAGAAATGAACGAGAAGTCCAGGGTCCGATTCAGACTCGGCAAGAGCTCTGGTTATTCCAGGATCAAACTATACTTTAACATGTAGCAGCAACAAAATGCTTGGCAGAATCCCGTTCCAGTGAAACAGCTATATGAAGGTCATGCCTAACTATTTCCAATCTTAAGAATGTATACAACACTTGGCCCAAAATTACCAATTATCAAGTGCAGATCAAACGGCTAAAACCTAGGAGTAGACACAATACAAGCAGAATCAAGAACAGTTACCGAAGAACAACACTGCTCCTTGCTCGGTTGGCCCATCCCAGGCCGCCGTCGAGGGGTCGCTCACTCCCTGGCGATGTGGTGCCCTCGCACGCGGACTCCCTCCGCTCCTCTCCCCAGCCGGCCGGCGTCCCCACCCCACCAACGTCGGACGCTGCAACCCGCGAGCGCGCTCTCCTGGGCCTCGCCGCGACTCGCCGGGTCGCGACGCACCGCAGAGCCTCCGGCTCCTCGGCGCGTCCACGGGCGCCGCTGCGCCTGGAGTTTCGTGGCTTCTCGTCTTTGCTTTCGCTCAGTTCTTTTTTTTAGGGGATTGCTCTGCTTTCGCTCACTTGCTAGGCTGGGGATGCGTTGCTGGGCTTGGGCTGTTGTACTTGGGCTTGTGGCACACTGGCGCTGCTGCACTGGGCCAGTGGGGTGTGGTCCGGGAAAATAGTACCGCCTCGCCCGCGGAAGGAATGCAGACCGGTTAGCTGGTTATATAAGAGAGAGTTAAATGCACTAGAGGTCCTAAAAGTTTTGTCGTTGTGTTACTTTAGTCCTATTTCTTGGAAAATGCACTTTTAGGTCCCAATTCTTTCATAAGTGGTTCACCCGAGGTCCTTTTCTTCACTAGCGCTCGCTGACCTGCCCTCGTGGCGCTTTGACCCACGCCACGTCGACACAGGGCCCATTCGCCAGGCGAGAAATTTTGCAATAAGCCCCTCCCGATCTATTCCCCTCTCAGTGGCATCCCATCTCCTCTTTCGGGGCTAATCTGGCGACACTGGAGGTGATCGGCGGCGGCGTCAGCGACGATTTCCTGCACGCGGTGGCGATTTCCGCCGTGCGGCAACGAGCGGAGGTGATCTGGAGGGCAATCTGAGCGGGTGCCCGTCAAGATGCCCCCTCTGCGACGGCCAATGGGCGATGCTCCTCCCTCTTACGGTAAGAACCCTAATCTTGTCGCTCCTCTGCTCCTATAGTGCTTCTAATCTGCAAGGATTATGCCATAGTCATAGATTTACTTCGATTTGCACTGTCATATTTAGGATTCCTAGACCGCATGCTCTGATTTGAGGTTAGGGTTAGGGTTTCAGTTCTAAATTCCAAAAGACCACTTCTTTTGTAATTTTTTCGCTGCAATACATCAATTGAAATTTGACAAATTGTCTCCATTGTAATGATAGGACCAAATGAAGAAGTGTTTTCTATTGAAAGCAATTATGGTGGGCTGTTTTGTGGATT